CTTGCCTCAGCTGGACACCCCCAAATATGTATATGCTTCAAACTAGGCTTCTTACCCGTCCAAAGCTCATATGGGGTTTTATCAGTAGCCTTAGTTGGAACTCTGTTGAGTATATAAGCTGCAGTCTTTAATACTTCACCCCAGAGAGATTCTGGTAAGGTAGAATGACTAATCATATTCCTCACCATGTCCTTAAGCGTTCTGTTTCGTCTTCAGCAACACCATTCATAGTGGGCGAACCCGGCATAGTGTACTGTGGGACGATACCGCATTTCTCTAGGAATTTAGCAAACGGTCCTGGACGCTGTTCACCTGAACCGTCATATCTGCCATAGTATTCACCCCCACGGTCAGATCTGACGCTTTTAATCCTTTTGCCGAGTTGGTTCTCAACTTCAGCTTTATAGTTTTTGAACACATCCAGTGACTGTGATTTTTCATGAATGAGATATATGTAGCCTATCTTGAAAAGTCGTCTATGAACGTTATAAAATATTGTTGACCATTCCAAGAACCAGTAGGGAATGGTCCACAAATATCCGTATGTATAAGTTCTAAGACGTCCGAAGTCCTATTGGCTTGAAATCTCTTTTTATTGGTTTGTTTTCCCTACACACAAATCATAATCTGTGAAGTCAAGAGGGTCGAGAATACCGTCAGACACAAGTCTTTCAATTCTCCTTTTGGAGGTGTGACCTAATCTCTTGTGCCACAACGAGGCAGAATTCTCGTCGTTTAATTTTCGCTTTACACCTCGAGTACTTACATGCAAGGTTTCATTATAAGAAGCAATTGTATCAATTGAATAAAGATTATCGTAACCTGATAAAGAACCGGAACCAACCAATTTTGAATCATGAAACAAACTAGATTTTCCATTTCCAAAAGAACAAGTATAACCAAATTTGTCCAAAATAGAAATAGAAATCAAATTTCGTCTAAAAGATGGTACAATAAATGTCTCAACAAGATCCAAATAAAATCCAGTCTTTAACAATAATCTAAATTTTCCTATTGCCTCTACTTCCATTCTATTGCCGTCGCCAGCACAGATGTATCTTTCACCATCACTTGGTTTTCGACAACTCAGGCAACCCTGCATAGACATACTGATGTGAGTTGTTGCACCAGAGTCTATCCACCATGTATGTCTAGGTACCGAAGTTAAATTAACCTCAGAACAAACCAAATGAAGAAGAGTACCTTTCTTTACACGCCATGCGTGGTAATTGGTGCAATTCTTCTTCTTATGACCTGCAGCTCCACAGAAGAAACAACCGCCTTCAGTCGGTTCCTTATGCTGTTTCTTTTGCGGTGCCGTACCTACAACTTCCTTATTAATCTTCCTTTTCTTGTTGCTTTTGTCCTTAGAGGTGGTGGCTAAATGAGCACTTTCTGTCTTTTCATGCTTCAGTCTTTCCTCTTCCTGGACACAGTGTGAGATGAGCTCATTAAGGGACCATGAGTTCTTTTGACAGTTATGGCTCACCTTGAATTGACTGAAATGTGCCGGAAGGGATATCAAAACCAAGTGCACTAGCAAGTCTTTAGATAAATCCAACTTGAGTGCCTTTAGTTTTGAAGCAATGTGAGACATTTCCATAATGTACTCCCGAATGTTTCCTTTCCCTTTATACCTCATTGAGACAAGATTTGCCAAAAGTATACTTGTTTCAGCCTTTTCATTCTTGGCAAACCTCTTTTCAAGGTCCTCAAGGAAACCCTTAGCCGTAGTCACCTTATCGGACATAGTGCCCCGGAATGCTTCTGGAATAGCACGCTTCATGACCATTAAGCTTATGCGGTTCGATTGTTCTCACTTTTCCATCTCCCTCTTGTCATCAGAGGTACTCTTATCAGTAAGTGTAGCAGGTTGATCGACCCGTAAAGCAAGGTCTAGGTCCATGACTCCGAGAACAATCATAACGTTCTTTTGCCATGCCCTGAAGTTTGTGCCATTTAACATTGGAATTGAATTGATGCTAGCAGAGATATTAGCAGCAGAACCTAAAACTAAATTAGAGAACATTTATTATGAATAGCTCATATGAATATCTTTAATATGCAAATAATAATAATAATCTCAAATAGTGGTAGGGCCCATCACAAGATACCAAGCACAACATCAATATCTAGTCTTTGGATAGAGATATTGACTTGTAAGCGGTACTCTTGGCGTAGTGATCAAACATTGACGATAAAACAACGTGTTAATTAATAAACCTTTCTTTGGACCGATTTATTGATCACACATTAAACCAAATAATCGTCACACGTTTATCACCACAGGTGCACGTGTATTCGGCTAAATATTGACCTTCCTTTGGGCCGACCAATATTCCCATGAATAACACGTGCACAAACACCTTTTAATATTCTAAGTTAGTCAATTTTCACAAGAGAGGTTGCTTTGACAACATGTTGCTTCAATTAACTAACTTTCGAATATTATATCTCTTTAAAAGAGTCTTTAATACCAAAATTTGAGAAAGAGAATCACCAATTTTGTATATTTTGATTAGTTTTAAACTTTGGGGCCTTAGGATTAATAATTCAAAACTTTAAGGGGGCAAAATTAATTAATTTCAAACTTTAGGGGTCGAAATTAATAAACTTGAAACTTTATGGACCATAATTAATTAATTCAATACTTTAGAGGATCAATTAAAACAAATTTTAAAACTTTAGGGGCCGAAATTGACCAATTCAAAACTTTAGGGATCAAATTTTAAAAATTTGAAACTTTAGGGGTCAATTTGAATTAATTATGAACTTAGGGGGCCATTTTGAATTAATAATTAAATTTTGAGGGCTTTAATTATAATTTCAGAACTTTAATGGCCCGAATTAATTAATTTTAAAACCTTAGGGACTAAATTATTAAAATTTGAAACTTAAAGGCCCAATTCTCAATATAACTTAAAGGTTAGGGACTGAAAACTTAAATATATAACCCTAACCCTAATTGCAACCAGGGGCCTCAACTTATCTAATTTACAAGAGAGGCCCCCGCGCCCCAAAAAAATTAAAAACTGAATTTTTTTTTTAATTCTTCTTGCTGCGGCACACTCCTGCGCCGCGCGCTGTTGGCAGCAGTGCTTCTGTGTGGGCAGCAGCGCCTACTGCGCGCTGCTGTTGCAGCGGCGCTGCCCACTGCAGCACCGCAGCGCAGGCAGCCCTGCCGCCGTCGGCGAAATTAATTTTTTTTTTAAAATCTGAATTAAAATTTAAATTTCAAATCTGAATTTTCTTAAACTGAATAAATCCATACGAAAATAATAAAATTATGCCGCAAAAATTTTCAAATTTAACAAAACATATAACCAAAAAATTGTTAAATCTGAAAATTTCAAAATATATTACAAGAACCAAACTAAAACCTTTGATTCTCAATGATTCAACATAAAGAGGCTCTGATACCACTTGTTAGATAATTTAATGCTTTAAATTACTGGATCTTTCATGTTAAATCATCGAGAAATATAAGAATTAAAGCGGAAGCATACCTGAATTTGACATGGTTAATGCAATATGGATTTCGCGGTATGATCTTCCAAATCTACACGCAGTCTCCTTTTCCTCTCTGTGATGGGATGCAGTAGAGAATGAATAATTCGTTGCGTGTGATCTGGGGACCATAACCTATTTATATGAGGATGCCCTTTGACCTAATTCGGCCCATCATAGAATTAGGACTTGGACCCGGTCTCTACACATATTTAAACCCATACTTTAATTGGATACATTAAAGCCCAAAAACCGAAACCTTATTAGATCACTTTAATCGGGCGCGACCGAATTCGATAGCCTATAATTTAACACACAATTATTTACACATACAAACCCATCTTTAATTAAAAATCCTTACATATATATCCCATTTCGCTCCCTACTACTTTTTGTGTAGTATGTGTTTTGTTGTGTAGTACAATAGGTTATGTGTAGTTGGTGCTCATTTGGGTGATTGTAATATATGCTAAGGATGTTGGTATGGGGAGTTAGTACAACTAGAGTATGTTCTTCAGTATTTGAGAAGACTCTATAATTTTCATTCACTACAATCTCAGTAATGTGAATGTGATTGAAAACATGTTGTTGTTTTTGGCTCACCAATTTGCCTGTATTGATACTTATACATTGTTATACAACATCATCTTAGTTAAACAACAATTGGTGCAAAAATTGACAAGATGCTTCCATTTCCTAAATGTTGTGTTGCTGATGATACATTATTATACACTGAAGCAAAAATTGGTACAAAAATTGACAACATTATACATTGGTAAACAACAATTGGTCCCACATTGTTATACATTGATAATTAAACAAAAATTGATAGGGGGCTTCTGTTGCCTGTATTGATATTATACATTGTTATGCAACATCATCTTCATTGAAACAAAAATTGGTGCAAAAATTTGACAAAATGCTTCAATTTCAATGCTGCTGCTGATGATACATTGTTATACTCGAATGCAAAAATTGACAACATTGTTATACATTGTCATACAAGATGCTTCCACTTCGTACATGGTGCTGCTGATGATTAAACAAAAATTAACAGGTGCTGCTGCTGATAGGCTAATTATCATATACACATGTGACTTCTAGGGTGCCTCCATTGTGAGTTAATCTTTCTTAGACTCCAGTAAGCAAAAACAACTTTCAAACTGGAAGCATACCACTACGACTCCCCGGTTCTTTGGGATTTCCTTCGACAAAATAGTTTGCATCACTATGGTCATCCACAATCACATTTTTCCAAACTGGTCATGAGCATGTATGATCGACGCAACCTCTCCCAATTTACTTGGGCCCACCTTCTGTCCCCTTCCCTTGGCCTGCATAATCAACAGTTGTAAAAAAATAATTATTATGCTATTTGTATATCGTAATACCTTCGCTTTACTAGATGCTGCTTCCAAAGGGCTTTTGTTTCAAAGTTTCTTTGGCGCGCCTTTTCTCTTCGAACATTTTGGATCTTGTATACCTAAATTTGCACTATGTTGTGATGCTTCACCATGCGATTTTATTGTAAATGCATTTTGGGACACGTCATTACTTCCACAACTTAAGCTCATCATCTTAAATGATTGTTTTTTGCATTCTATCCACTATAGTACATCATGAGTTTGATCATCGTTCCATATAGCCATTTCCGCTAGTGAAGCAAATGATTGACACATTTTGTCATATCTCAATTGGGCAGGGGTGCTACTCAAACCATCATAATCCACTACGACCTTGGTGTGGGCTCTACTGACATCTCTCTTCCATCTCCATAATATATAGCTGTCTGGCAATGCAGTGACATTATTACGGATAAGTACAGCGATTGCGTGCCTACAAATTATACCTCGAAACTCGAACAAGTGGGCTGCAAACAATATCACATCTCTGTCTTTTCAAATGTCACAAAACACTTATTTTTCTTACTTTGATTGTCAAGTATAAAATACCTTATAGGTTGTCCCCAAAAAGCCCTCCGACGAAGATACGAGGTCGCAATAAACATTTCCAATGAATTCATCTTGAACTTCTCGAAATTTTGAAATGGTATAAACTCTTTGAAACTGCTTTTCCAACTCGTACTTTGTTGCACATGTTACCATTTGCGAGTATGATTTAAAATCTGCTTGAAACTCATTGTCCACCTTTTTCCTTAATGCTCTTTCGTATTGTTTGACTAATTGTTTCAGTGATGTCTTCGAGTGCACATAACCATCGAAAAATGCATTCATACTCTCACTACGCTGAGTTGTTGACATTCTCACCCAAAAGCTGCTTTTTAAAAAGCAAGGTACCCAACGACCTCTATTCGCAAACATTCTCGACAACCACTCATTATCATGCAAGGAATATCTGTCAACCATTGCTTTCCAATTTTCTTCAAATTGGTCAACAGTCTGAGAATCATATACTAGTACATGTATAGCAGAAAAGATCTCGCCCTTATCAACGTGATATCCAAACTTCTCGGGCAACTTCTTCATTATGTGCCATAAACGCCATCTGTGTTTCATCTTCTGGAATACGATCTCAATTGTATTCTGCATAACCTTGTCTTGATCGATAATAATCCCAATAGGAGCTTGGTCATTCATACACTGAAGCCATTTCTTAAAAAGCCAAACAAATGTTTCTGTATTCTCATTTGACACCAACCCACAGCCAAAGAGTATTGACTGTCCATGATGATTAACTCCAACAAAAAGAACAAATGACATATCATACTTATTAGTCAGGTACGTGGTATTAAATATTACCACATCATCGAACTCCTTATATGCTTCCCTACTCCTGTTGTCTGTTTAGAAAATATTCTTTAGTCGCAGTTCTTCGTCTAAATCCACACTGAAGTAAAAACCTGAACACTTTGCTTGCATGTTCGAAAAATAGGCTTGTACTGCTGTGGCATCCTCTTCTTCAAGTCTTAACCACCTCGCTTGTTCAACATAGTTTCGACAGTCTTTTTCCACGCACATCATATTCTCATATCTCCTTGCTTCTACGACTGCGAAATTGTAACTTTTTTGCAACGGAATCCCTGCCATATCGTACATGGGCACTCAATTCTCGGTTGCAACGATACAACCTAGATTTCGAAGGACTTATTGTATGATTGTGAATGAGGTTGACTGTGTTAATTTTCCATATTCCACATGCATCTGCAGATTCAGTCATCCTAACTTTGTAGCCTGTTTGAATGGTACCTTGCTGTTTTAAAAGAACCACTCGTAGTACACTCATTCTCCCTTCACGGCTACATGTGAACACTATATATCTCACAATTCCATTATCAACTTTCTTTGAATTTCTTTTCCTAACCGAAAATCCTACGTTGTACGCATATCTTTTGTAAAAATTATACATTTCACTTTCATCATTGAATTTCATACCCACCGCTAGCACAATCACAATGTCTACTCCTTAAATTCCATCATCCACGACTTTCTCACTGTCCAAAATGTTGTCATTTTCGGACTCTAATAGAATGACATCATCCACCTCTTTCGCAATTTCTTTGCTTGCAGTAACAAAATCAATGACAAGGTTAATTCCCTCTCTCCCAATATTCGACAAATTCTTAACAAAACCTACAACAAACGGGTCAAAATTTTAAGCTTTTCCCTAAATTAATTAATTTTTGCTTCACAGTACAAGACTATAAGTGGGTGAAAAATTAGTTCAACCTTTAAGCTTTCCCCTAATTGCATTATTTTCAGTTTGATAGAACAAGTGGGTGAACACTTAGTTGAACATTTAATTAATTTTAGTTTCACGGTGAAAAATCATCTCCTCATATTTTCATGCTTAAATTTGATTATCACCTCCATTTTTTTAAAATTAATGAACGGAAATGCCGAAGTCCATCCAGGGACGAATCCAGCACAAACTTTCAGCTAGGGCGGAGGTTGACTTTAACCGTTGAATGTCAACAGTCAGCGATCGTAATAGCCCGATCCGACCGACTTCCGATCATTTATTAAAATTTGATTAAATGATATTAAAAATTATTCAATATACATGTAAATGCATTAAAATGTAAAAATTATATACATATAAAAACATAGTTCAATGCAACCCAAAATACGACAACAACACGGCAATTGGCAGGTTCCATAATACAACAACACTGCCTCTAGAAGACAACAACACGACAATTGGCAAGTTCCATAATCCATTCACCCAAGTCCAACACCAACAATCCAACCGGCAACTAGCAAACTCAACAACAACAATTCAACATTCAAATTTCAATATTCAAATTTCACATTATCACATTATTCATAGTCACCACATAGATGGTAGAACAAAAACAATACCAAAAAAATAAGAGAGAAAGAGGAAAGAAATGCGGGCTCACCTGAACTTCACCAAGAAATGCATTGCAGACTCTTGACGTCTTCCTCTCGTCTCGCCTCTCGGAGTCTCGCCAGCAGCAGCGTAGTAGGCCAGTAACAATAGCGATTAGGTACTGTAAGCCATAAGAGTTTATGGTGGTTTTGTGCGGTTCAACCTTCCATTCATTCGCCAGATGCCACGCCAGTTGAGTTCGCCCTTCAGTAATTAGGTAAGGGTTTGTGGTGGGTTTGAAGGAAATGGAAGTGTGGAAACTATTTGGAGCAGAAGAATGGAAGATGAATTACATAAATGAAAGACCAATTTGGTTTGGGAATTGGGCAATTGAATTGGGCCAAGGTAAATCCAACACACAAAAAAAGGCAGCCCACATTGAATTGAGCCCAGGTTTCTTTCTTTCTTCCATACTCTGCCTCTTCTTCCTCCTGGCTGTGTTGCCTGCACTACAACTTATCGCTGCAACATTTTGGCAGTTCCGACGGATCCAGCTAGGGCGGCTACCCTAGCTCACCACTACCTGAATCCGCCACTAAGTCCATCATCAATGAAGCCAATGATGACTGCTTCTACTCGAATCAACGGCTTCAAGCTGGAGGAATCTCGACTGCTTCTACTCAAATCAATGGCTTCACACTGGAGGAACACCGAAAAAACTCTTTCTTACACAGTCGACGGTGGCTGCTTCAAGTTGGAACAGAAGTTTGTTACATCGGAAAAAACTTCATTCCAACTCGACGAGTGCTTTGGGCGGTAGGTTTCAGTATTGGGTGAATTCACGGGCAAAGTGTGTCTATTTCTCATCGTCCTTTTATTGGTCGCTTTGCCTCCGCCAATTTCAAAATTGATGACCCAGCCCAATCAATTCAAGTTTAAGTGCTTTTTTTTCCTTTTTACACCCACTTTCCAGGTCACTGTGTAACCCAGCACGTAAGGGGTCAGGTACCAAAAGCATTTTCCATCCAAATATTGAAACTTAGATTTATCCAAATTTGACTAGTGGTTCACAGTTTCTCAATTTCCAATGCACCGGGACTCTTTTTTAAACTATAAATATCCTGCACAAGTCAAATTTTAGTCACATATTTTTCAAAGGAAAAAAAAAGGAAAAAAAAAACAATTCTCCATCAATAATTACGCTTAAGGCAACCGATGAACTTTGGAAATTGGAATATTCTCTTGGATTTTTCTTTCAAAAATACTATTCGAATGAGGTAGGATGCTATGTTCAAGTTGATCCGTCCTTTCAATATTATAATTTTTTTCTACATAATTTATTTCATGAAATACTAATTAACTACTACAGCCCTGATGTAGATAGTTTTAGGTAGTTATTTGGGTTATAACATCTTAATCCCAAATGAACTATTCCAAATTTATATATATTATTCCCACGTGCAGAAGACAAATGTTAGTTGTTATCCTATATTTTTATTTTGATATAAATTAACTATTAATGGTTAATAGTTGTCCTATATTCTTGATAAAGATTGAAAGTCAAATGGTAATCCTATTTGGTTTAGACTTCATTAGTACAAATATAAAACCAATCTTCAAATTCAACTCCTCGTGTCATTGTTGATGATTATGAGCTATTATGAAAGTATAATCCAAATATCGAAACTTAAATTTATCAAAATTTGACTAGTGGTTCATAAGGGTGTCAACGAGTTGAGCCGTGTCGGCTCCCAAGCCAAAATTCCCAACTCGGGTTCTGCTCGAACTTTTTAAGGCGGGCCTTTTTTGCCCGAGCCGAGCCGAGCAAAAGTTTGACCAAAAAATTAAGGTTTGACCCGAGCTTTCGGTTCGAGCCTTACCAAGCTGAGCCTGGCCGAGCTCGATTTTTTGAAAATTTTTCCCCTAAAATAGCTGCTAGTTTGGCAACTAAAATGGCTGCCAAACAGACAGCTAATCTGCTGCCAACAGCTAACTAAATAGTTGCCAACCAGCAGCATATAAGGCAGTATATTTATATTGCTTTTTTTTACGGGCCAGCTTGGATCAATCCAATTCCTGAAAATGGGGCTCAGCTCGAGCTTTGTCTTGGTGCCTCCGAGCTTCGAGTCGGGCTGAGGCACGGGCAACCCGAGTCGACAAGCCTAATTGTCATCCCTAGTGGTTCATAGTTTCTCAATTTCCAATGCACGAGGACTCTTTTTTTAAATTATAAATATCCCGCATAATTCAAATTTTAGTCATATTTTTCAAAGCGAAAATCAATTCTCCATCAATAATTACATTTAAGGCCACCGAGGAACTTTGAAAATTGGAATATTCTCTTAGATTATTCTATCAAAAATTCGTTGATCTAACAAGGTAGGATGTCATATACAAGTTGATCTATCTTTTCAATATTATAATTTTTTCTACATAATTTATTTCATAAAATGCTAATCGACCTGTGGGTCCCAATGAAATGAAATGAGAGATTTCCTTCAAGTTTTCTCAATTGTTTGCATAGAAATGTGTTAGAGCATTATATTAATCTTCGATTGCTCTTGATGAAATGATAGTATGGAATGTTATAAATTTATGTTCAACAAGTTATTATATTGTTTCGGACGCACGTATTCTACTGAGTATAAATTACTCATTCCTTCAATTTTAACATTTCAGGTTAGATAGGGCGACGTGGATGGTGGCTGAGCGATGCGCAGGTTGCCACGTAAATTTTTTTTTCGAAAAACATTTAAAAATAATTCTGTTAGGAAATTTTGTGTTTCTAATTATTTTCATTAAATGTTCTATGTTACGTGACATTATGTTTATTCAACTTAGTATTTAAGTATTCCAATTTATATTTCTGTTCGATGTGTGATTACAAAATGATATCGATAACACCTCAAAATTTAAGTCCATAAAATTTGGGACATTACATTAAGATCAAATAGTTTAAGAGTCAAATTTCGGAGGAAGATCAAAATCTTGATTTTTTAGACAAAATGTAAAGATACTAATAGTATGATATTTGATAATATTTAAGCTCGAAATCCTTCTATACATTAAAAATAATTTTTATGTATTAAAAGTCATTCGGATGCAACGTTTTGATCAAATATAAAAATGACTTTTAAAATGATATTTTGACTTGAAAATATATTTTTATCTTGAAAAATTAGTTAAAAATACCTTCCAAAAGTCAATGTCTTTCAAAACCTTCGAATTGGGTCAAACAGGGTCAAAACACAAAAAGATCAAAACTGTCGATGGTCAACTAACCGGAAGGGGTGATCGACTAGAGGTGGTGGACCAGCCAAAGGTGGAGGTCGGTCGAAAAATTCCAACGGTCCAAAATTTGACCGTTTCTATCTTTGATTTTTACTATACAAACAGCGATATTGATCATCCGAATAATAGGCGGTCGACCGGACAAGTCATCCGCACTTATAGATTTTTTTGACTTTTTGAACTTTATAAATATTCTCACTCTTTCCATTTTTCATAAGAGATTTAAGAGCATAAAGTGAGATATTTTTTTGAGAGAATTCTTTGAGCTTTCCTTTACATTCATTTCTTTCATTTCTTCGTATAAAAACTTTGATAGATTCAATCTCCTTAATCATCATCATCATTATCAAAGTTTTCTTCTCTTTTTTTGTACTTAACCTATTTCTATTGTTTATAGAAGAGATATATTTCAAAAAAGATCTTTGAATTTATATTGTATATATTTCTTTCACTTGTTCATATTGAA